GGTTGGAGGCCATCGCTAGTAGGGTGGAGGCCATTGCTACTAGGTTGAAGGCCATCGCTAGTAGGGTGGAGGCCATTGCTACTAGGCTGGAGGCCGTTGCTATTAGGGTTTCTCATTTTCCCTTTTTGCGTTTCAGTGTTTGGGCTCAGGATCTACACCAGGCGGAGCACCTCGGCTTGAAGACCGATCGCCAGGAGAGCCCGAGCCGTCCTTGGTGCCAGAGGTGTTTGCAGGCCGTCCCATTTTGCATCAGTTCCTCCCAAAAAAAAGATATGGGGGATATCCGGGAGATGGATCCCACATTTCGTACATGTGCAAGTTGGAAATCAAGTGCCAGGAGCTCAAGGACCTCCTCAAAGAGGCGCGGAATTCGTCTCTCTTTTGCTCCCTAGACATTCAGACCGGAGCTGGTGCTGCACACGCCCAGTTGCATGGCAAGCTCCACGAGACCAATCAGGTTCAGTTCCTAGGAGCAAGACACAAAAGGAAAAGGTGAAAGAGCGAGGTTTCAAGCTCTTTCTGCAGATTGACAAGTCTTTTCCCCCCCAAACGGCTCAGTCATCGGCTCATATCGGCTCCATGGCCCTCTTCCCCCATCGGTCGCGCGAAAACGAGGCCAAAAACTTCTCAGAGCGCTGGCAACAGCATTGGGATGAGAGGTCTGCCTGGTGAACCTGGTCCCTGTGTCCACCCCAAAGTCGGGAGGAGTTGCTTTTGCTTTGACTAAGATATGCATCATGGGTTTAACGGTTTGGGGTATGTTGGGGGAACTCATGATTATGAATTAGATGTTGTCATTTGTTAATCACATCAATAATGAATCAATGAACAGCAAGACGTATATAATTAATGCATATTGTCCTGCTGTCCACCTTTCTTCAGTTGGCGTTCCAGCAGTTCTTTTGCAGGTAGCAAATTTGCATGTGGGGAAGCTTTGTTTGTTTTGTGCTTGAGGCTTGCTTTTTCATTGCTACTTTGTATCAATTGAAATCATGGGGGGTTGGCACTGTTTTCGTTGGCCCACTAGAATGGTCCTTCCGTGCTCTCGTGCTTTGCGCAAATTAATTAATGGTTACTTGTTTGTCGCAACATGTCGCGACATAGTGTTTTGACATGCTTGTCGAATCGTGTGTGCGTGTGTGTTGCGCAGGAAACGCACAGACACCGCAGAGGAGGAAGCTGAGGACATTGATGGGAAATGCAGGGTTGTGTCCAACAACGGCAAAGTGAACATGATGAACGCTTTGATAGATCAATAATGTCGTTTGTGGACAATAAGGCAAGGTAGTTTCGCGTGTCTAGATTTTTAACACATGATCAACACGCTGAGGTTTGCTAGAACGCAGAGTTGTAAATGTTCCTGGTTTGCCATTTTCTCCTGCTGTCTGACTGTTCGAGGAGCTTCGACAGCTGCGACAGCAACCTGGCTTGCTTGTGAAAGTTGTGTGGAGATTGCGAATTCCCCAGACCAGGACCAGACCTGTGTGTGAAATGTTCAACCAGCTACCGCATGTGTGGAAGCCTTTGGTTGGCGACTGCCCTGTAAAGTGGCTGCCCGCCGCTGGTCGCCTGCATCAGGAAAGCTCAAAGTGCATGCAGCAAATATTTTGTCCTCGTGATCCAGGAATCCAGCATACCCCATCATCATAGGGTCCCGCAACCAATGCGAAGAGTGTCTTGAAATCATTCAAAATCTAGTGATGGACCAGAACAGTTGAAAGGTGATGTTGATGACATGAACCGTCTTCAGAGACCAGATCCTCCCAACCAATTCATGTTGAGACTTCGTTGGGATAATGCGAACAACTGAAACCAGGCGGCATTGAATCATGGGAGGTGCCACAGGATGTTGGATGTTGAAACCTAAATGTACCATAAAACCCCAGAACCTAAAAGCATGACAGTTCCAAGAAATAAACGATGTTTCTTGAGGAAAACAGTTTTCTTGATTTTGTGCATTTTGAGGGCATGCTGTCTGAAGTACATGGCCAGGCAAACGCACACGTCATCCCCTTTTTATTCCTCTCAACTTTGCTATTCATATCTTCATGTGCCCACCTTCATCCAAACACGGGAACTAGTCATTATAGACATCTTAGACATGGCACCAAGCAAAGCTACTTCAGAGTCCTGCGATCCTTTCTAGATTTCTGAAGGAGCGATGCCAGGTTTCAGATGAACACATGTGCCGAAAGAAAGAACAACTGTGTGTTTGTGGTCTGAAAGCAGTCTACAAAAAGCATTTTTCTTTTTCTTTCACCCCTAGAAACTGCAGTGCTTCAAGATCAATCCGAATTGGCACGTTGCCAGCATCACATGGGAGTGATCAATTCTCCTCATGGACACCTTCAAATGGCAAACTCCGGAACCCATATGTTTTTTCGGGTTCCCTACGGGTTACGACGGGTTTTTTACGGGTTCCCCACGGGTTAGGAAAAACGTATTTTGTTGAAAAAAAACGGTTTCTCCAGTATGACCCACGGGTATAGACGGGTTCCCCATGCTTATAGACGGGTTCCCCACGGGAACCTGAAAATTTGGATGGTTTGGGGAGCTTTTTGTCATTAAAGTCCGTTCGACAACCTGCGGATCACACAAGATGTTTGGAGACCTATTTTTCTGAGAGTGTTACTTTCAAGACATTGATACCCAAATTATCACACGCTGAAGGGCACAATCTGGGCTTTGTGTTCGCATGGGCACCAACCAACTGACTCAACACGGATTTGCTACCCTACCCCCGCATTCTTTACAAGTGGTCCATACGCGGGCACTGCTCAAAAGGACATGTTCAACAAGAAGACTCAAGTTCAGGAGAGTTTGGGGGTGACACCGGCCCATGCTGGTGGTATAAAATAGTCCATGAGCCAAACAAGTCTGAGATCAAAAACGACATAAGCCATGGCAAGCCATTCTTCTTCACGAATCAGCTCCCATTTGGAGGCGTTTCCGGGAAAAAACAATTTTTTCCAGGATAAACACTTTTTACTGCCAATGCCACTGGAGAAGCGATGTTTCGCTCCAGAAAATAGGTAAACGAAGTCGTTTTTGCCAAAGAACTCGCAAGACTCCACTACCGGATAGCTGGTTCCGCTTGTTTCCCAGCGCCCTGCTCAGCATATTGCCGAGGGGACTTCGAGAACGGGTTTGGCAACTCCAACTGAGGCACTGGGGGATCCGATGCCAGCGTACTGCTAGCCATTTTTGAGGTCATCCAATTATGTGAGGTTCTTTGTGAGATTGTTTGATGATCTTCCATCATATGCAAGAGTGGCTAGGAAACATGGAGTTGAAAGAACCACCTCAGTAGACGGTGTGAGTTTGGACGTTCAGAGGAAATCCGGAGGGGTCGGCAACTTCGCTACACCAGCACTGGCGGAGTCGCGATGGGCGGATGTTTGAGTTGCTCGGAGAGTTCCTCATAATTATATAAGCTTCAACATAATCCAATAGATGAAGAATGATAAATCCATTGCTCATAACAGATCCAATACGATCCAACCATCAAGAAGGATCCTCATAGTTTCTGCAGACTTACAACAGATCTATGGCAGAAGAAACAAATGCACTCGCCACATCCACTCATCACTCACCGCTTGCCAGCAGTTGTTTGTCCATTATTCACACGGAGGATACCCCCCAACAAACCGAGCAACGGATCCACCAATTACAAATCCCAAAAATGGTGCCAACCCACAAACTCCTCACCCGGGATCCCCCTCTGGTCCCTGTGTTTCTTTTTCAGGGTGCTTGGGAGTAGCTGGGTACAGCATGCACTCGCCCGGTTGCCGTCGACAGCGTAGCGCCTCCTCGCCGTAGAGCGCGTGGGGCCGTTCCAGCTGCGCCATGGGCGCCTGCAGCAGTGGGCAGAGTGATGAAGTGGAGCTCGTCCATGAGATGCTGAGCAAAGATATCTTGAGCAGTGGAGAGGTTGGAGATGGTTGAAGGCTGCCGAGGCTGTTACCAAGCACCCCTCAAGCCTACAGGAAGTTTGACCCTTTTATCTGGGTTGATTTCTTCCATGACTCCCAAAGCTCACACACCTGATGTGGTCGGGTCCAGGTAGAGGGCAGGTCACGTCAAAGCGAACATGTCATCAGTTCGTGCGACAGAGCAACCTTAGAGATATCATGAGAATTCATGAGATATCAATATCAAAGCTGACACCTCAAATTTCAACCATATCAGTCTAGAAGCATCTGAATTTTGAGCCACTTCTGTTGATTCTGCACCAAGGATGCGATATCCCATGTACGTGGTGAAGGTCACCGACTTCTTAGACATGGAAGGTGCCCTTCCCACGATCGGTGACGACGACGAAGTCTATTTACTTGTTGTTTTTAGCTTCTTGTTCCTAGTAGTAAGGCCCTTGCTCCTGGTAGCAATGCCCTTTGCTCCGTTCGTAGCGTCCTGTGCTCGGTGAATGAATTCGCTGCGATGCTCCGATCGGTTGGAGGAACCGATGCCGAGTGCTTCTCGTACGTCAGTACGTATGAGAAGACTTGGATGAAGGGAATGACCAAAACTTGCTTCCTCATTCGGCCACGGAGCAACCGCTGTTGCGATTGCAGTCTGTTCACCTCTGATTTCGAGCCGCCCATCATCCTCGATCGGCCCAGGTGGTATGACACATCAGGAACTAAAAGCCGCGGGCAAGCTGTACCAATGGGTGCCCGGAATGTTTGATCCTCGGCTTTGCCCCATTCGGTCCTCATTTTTACATCACGAAGGCGATCGGCTGCTCGGAATCGCATGCTCTTCTCTTCGGGGACTTGTAGGATATAACAACGACTGCTGGAAACGAAAATTACATTTGAATTATAGACTTAGATTGAAACTCTTAAACCCCGTCAGATTCAGACAGGAAATGCCTCTAATTGTCATTGATGTGCAGGTTTTGTCACTCAGCTTGGTGTTCTTTTCCCACGCTCAATGTTCCTTCTGGCTGCCGTTTTTTTGCACTGCAACCATGGCGCTTGGAACCTCCCTGTTTGGAGACTTGTCTTCGGATGAAGGTTTCCGGTGTGGCTGACCAATCCTTAGGAGAAACTTAAGGTTGTATAATTCTTGTTAAAGTGTTTTTGTTCTATTGACGTGTGTTGCAACCGGTGAGGACGTCGACCCTCCACCCGTCCTCCCCACGAGCTGTCTCCTCGGGGTTCCGGAAAGCGCCGAAAGCACGCTGAGGCAGTCTTCGTGTCACATCAATGGTTGGGGCATGTTCATCCAGATCCTCTTGGGGAGCAACTCCAAGCTCTTTGGAAGAGAAGTGCCATGAAGTGCCCCACCAACGCTCCGGTGGGTTGCTCATTGGTACAAACACAATTCACTAAATTAAGGTTTGGCTTGAAACCACGCCTTCAAGGTCCTTGGTACGCCGGAACTGTTTAAAGTACCTGTACGCAGTTGGAAGGATGGCATGTCTTGAAAGCCACCTGAGAGGGGGGCATGAATTGCCTGTCCATTTGCAACGTATATAAATATAATTTTGTCGGGTTCGAAGGGGTGTGGGAACTCTGACATCAACAGTAGAAAACTGGACATGGCCCTACAGAAGCATTCGCTTCAATTGAAAGAACAGCTGTTCGTTTTATCAGCAGTTCTACCGTTGTACCTATGCGCGGAAGGCTGAGCAGTTTAGTCATCCAAAACAACATAGACGAACGTTTGAGTATTGCGAATAGGCACAAGTTTTACTGGATATCTTACAGCCTTACAGTGGAATCCAATGAAACAAGTAGATCACCGAATCAATCATCGATTCGGATTCAGAACAGCCAAGTTTTGCGGCGCTTGAAGGTGGGGGGGAAGCATGGGGAAGCTGTTTGCTTGGTCTTTAAACCATCATCACTTTCATGATGTCTCATTCGTCCACGTCTTGTCTTCACCCAGTGGATCCGGCACCTTCATCCACGACCCTTCGACCTGCAGCGCACCGTGTCCACTCGGGCCTCGACGCTCCGAGGTTTTGAGGGATGGCTTGCGAGGTTTGGTCGAGGGTTCCCTCAAGGTGGGCGGAGCATGGCGGAGCGATGAGTAGGCATCGGATGCGAGATCCGAAGAACAGGATCCGATGTAAATGACCACAGAGGTGCGTCGAATTCCTGGAGGATGTTGTCAAATTGCACACATAGTTGCAAAGGTGGATTGCCATAGTTGATTGCTATATGTTGATCAGCGTTTCATGAGCCACGTGAGATTCATGCTTTCTTGGCGATCCGGGGTTCTTTTCATTGGATTATACACATAGTATTTAAATTTTCGTCTCCCTAGGTCTTAGATGGATCTTCCACCAAAACTCGACATCACGTCCCACGGATCTGAGGTGTTCACCAACTCTCCCCACCTGAAATCTCCGCAGGTGGAGCACAACTTTGTGGCCACCATCTATGGTGTTTCCTTGGACTGGTCAGAGTCCAAGCGTGAAGCTCTACATCAGGGTTTTCCGGTGAAGTTCAGACCCGGGGGAAGGCAAGCCAGGACAAGTGCACAGGAGTGCATGATGCACCTGAACCACCAAGAGGGCCTGAGGTCGGAGAATTCCAAGCATAGAATGGTATAATATAGAGATCTAGGTGGTATACGGGGTGATGCAAGTAGCAATTCCTTTGGCAAAAGGTGATCCATGTTTGTCTGTGTTTCCTTCCTTGAACCCAAGAACTCCAGAGACCCCTTTGCGGCGCGCTGACCTGCGCGCAGTTGATTTGTGGAGAAAAAACATGATCATCTCCATGACTATCCTCACTTTTGATTTCCAGTTGCCTCACAGATTCTCGAATGGTTCGGAATGACCCCAAATTTCTCAAACATACTAGCTGTTGTCACCTGAAGCTCCAAAAGTTGTGGGGTGCCCATTCAACCCAACGACCGGGCATCGCTGTCCAATGAGGCCGATGTCCGACAGAAAACATTTTGACGGGACAATACACCACCCATCCTCCTCAATCTGGCAGCTGGGTTGTCCAAATGGATTGAACATCATCCCAATCCGATTGCCGAGAACAAGTTGGACCTACAGACCTACAGCCGAGGTTATCTCTTTCTCGATCTCTGCTCTTTGCCCCAAATTCTGGATCTTGGCACTGGTTCGGTGGACTTCACCAACACCTCCGACGCTTCCCTCGCGGTGCAGAGTCCGCCCGGCCGCATGCGGCGATGTCCGCTGCGGGTGGGGTCGGAGCAGTTGGATTGGATCCGTTCCTGGTCCGTTCCTGGAGGTTTGAGGTCTGAGGAGGTCGCCTTCCCGAATTGGTCTCAAGATGTCTCAAGTAAGTTTAAATGTATATATTTCATGCCATCCCAATCGTATCCAAAACAGCATCAGCAATAGCCACTGGATGAAAGGGTTTCTGGGGAACAACCTAATTGAAGATCTTTATTGAACACTTGAGGCATCTTGAGGCATTTCGGGTTTCAGCAACACCCCATAGAATAGCTAATTGCGTCCAGCTACACATGGGAAGTGCAGTGTTTGACGGCTCTTGCATTGATCCTTCACACTGCAAGGTCTTGTTGGTACGCGAAGATGCCAAATGTGAGGTCCTTTGGTGCTCCGTAGCAGCGACAGTAGGTTCACCAGACTGGAATCCCAGGTTGTTAGTTGACTCGAGACTCGAGATGAACTGCACAATGATATGAATTTGTTCCAAATTGATAAGTGATTTGTGGGTGGATGCTTGCTATCAGACTGGTCCTCCCTGCATGTTTCTTTCAACTGGGTGGTCACCTGGATGTGTGGGTGAGTGTGCTGCGCAAGTTGGACCTATCTGGCTCCTGGTGGGCTGTCCTTCGCAGTCCTGGAGCAGCTTCACGACCGGACATGGATCTTGTGAGGTTGAGGGTGAAGATCCACGGCTGTGGACGTCTCCTTTTTCGTTCGAATCGTGGAGGATCCGGAGAGCAGGGAGACTTCTTTGGCAGAAGCTGAGGTATTCCGGCATATGTGGAACGATGTGATTTGTTCATCGCCTTAGCACCAGATGCTTGGAAGAAGAGAGTCTCGGAGTGGTGGGATGGGGTCCTTTTGTAGATGTTAGACGAAGCACAAGCACCTTTACAGGAGGAAAGCCATAGACTACCGTACACTCCTTAGAGAAGATCTTTATTGGACACCTCTTGGAAAGGCTGCAAGGAACAATATGAGCACGCTGGCCTGTAGTCCCTGGAGGCTTGGGATTGTATCCCCTACTGGACGTGGCCACTGAGTTGAGGTTCCTTTTGGGCAGTTGAACAGAACACACACGTTCTTTAGACTTCCTTGGACTCAGAAATAGCTCTTCTGGATGTTCTTTTTTCGCACACAACACCACACATGTCTAAGAACATCCACAAGAAGACATGTTCTAAGTTCTAGAATAGGTTTTTCGAGGTGACACACCACACCGACCCTTGGGACCTGATCCGATCCTCATTCATCGCTCGGGTCCGTAGACTCGATGTGCCTTCAGAACGATCTTCACATATCTCCATGTCCCACGGCATTGTTACTAGCTACTTGTTCCGTTCGTAGCGATGCCAGGAGCCCCTAGTAGCTTTGGAAGTCAGCGAAGAAGTGAGATATGATATAGATTGATATAGTGAGAACAGTGAGAACATTTTACCGCTTTCAGACGGAATTCTCCCGAGTATCCTCCTGTATTCTCAAAGCTTTTCTCCTTTTGTGAGTCATGGGCACCTCTTCTTCCTCCGCCTCCTTCTCACACATGCTCCAACAGCTGTCACATCTACCGTTTCCAATGGCTTCTCTCCTGACAGGAGCTTACGCACGCCGACAGCGGTGCTCACTGTAATTACACCACCTGGCTGACCCGCGGCTGGTGTCGCGCCGAACTCTGGTACCGGACACTCTCCAACCGGAAGAACACCTCGGTGATCGTGCCTGGAACGGCAGAGGGGGTGAAAACAGAACGATTTTGCTTGGAGTTAATTTTGGGAGGATGGGAAGCTGGTTCCAATGCAGGAGCTCGGTGTGGTCTTGGATTGAGTGTGCCAGTCGACACATGGAAGTATGCTTGACGGGTATAAATATTATGGTAGTATTGACCGAGCTTACTGCTTGTGGCTCAAGTCTGGTCGGGGAGTAAATGTTGAGTTGTTTGGACGGACATCCTTACACGACGCTTCGAACAGTGAACATGTCGCTTTAAGAGGCAAGACTTTGGCCGGAATCCGGTGTCCCTCCTCCAGTATATATCACACACATTCACACACACACACTGACCGGAGCTAACTGCAGCCTGTGTTGGCCTCCATTTTCTCGAGCTTTTCGGTGTAACACAATCCGAAGATCTTGTTCTTGTGTTCGCACCATGAGTTCCATCCCCACCCGAGTTCCTTTCAATGGATGAAGCCATCCGAATGGGTTTCGGCCCGAACAGTATTACTACTGGAAGCGTTCGGATGCTATCAGGTGGAGGCCATCGCAAGTAGGTTGGAGGCCATCGCTACTAAGTAACAAGAAGCTAATAGTAACAAGGGCATTACTACTAATGGCATTCATAATAGCAAGGATACCGCAGCCCCCCGGGTCTATGGCAGGAACTTTCTGGGTGGATTTGCTTGGCCCCGAGGTCATGTTATCTGCTGTGGAGGCCGAATGTACCTTGGCCGCGCCGAACACGTCGAATGCGCAGAATGAGTCGCTCGCAGGGTAAAAGAGATCTGAGAGACTGAAGAAGTGGTAAAGTAATTACCGTATGCCATGACCCATATGTGAAAAGTTTATCTTGATGTTCTGGGTCATGGCCAGTCATGCAGGCCAACGGATGTGGCCAATGATAGCCAACTGCCCATCGCCATCCCTCCGATGTGTTGCCTGACCACGTCCACCAAGCGAACGAGGCATGTTCTACCAGAACAAGTACCAGACGCGCATTGTGGATGGCCAGTTCACAGTGGAAGAAGACCGTGCCGAGTCTAGCACTGTGCCCCAAAGCTTCTATGTTCGATAGTCTTTGGAGGATCATGACATCCAATTCCTGAGAAGGAAACCAGTTGAATGAAGTCATGTCTTTGGTTGAAACCGTGTTTCTTTGACCTCCTGGCCAGTGCAGGCTGGCAGACTCACAGCGTTTGCAGTTCCATGTGCCAGGACTCTGCAGTTTGGAGCCCATGGGACATCACTGCTTGAGAAAGTCTAAAATCCCGTGATAAGGCGTTAAGTCTTCACATGCCACTTTAGTCCAGAACGCACACTCTAAAACGAAGACACATTAATTACAACATTATCAATTGTAGTGCCCAAATACCACGTGCTTCACTTCTTGAACCTGTGCTCAACTCTAATTCCAAAGCCGGGCACGTTACCAGACGGCGAACACGGTAACAAACACGTTGAGATGAAGGACCCAAAGTTTTGTCCACCTGAAAGGGGAACTCTATGGTCCACAGAAACATGGCTTGTGTTTATATAGAATGGAATCCTGCTGCAGTCTACCTTACATACATGGCAGAAGTTATTTGTGTACTAGAACAGGAATAACGAGACGGGACGACATGTAATGCATGAAACACTGTAAAACCATCCAAAAAGTTTTCACAACAACATGACAACAACACATGTGTTATAGTTATAGATAGTTATAGTTATAGTTATAGTATGTTATAGTTATTAAGAAACAACAGACCACCTTTTTGTGGGACTATCTCACAGCTGCCCGGCTTCATTCCGCCGACGTTCGCTCGTCCCAGGTGCCGTTCTGACACGCTTGGGGGAAGAAGCGACGGACAAGAAGATCAAGCACCTCAGGACGATCTGACGGGATCGTGAAAGTGAGAGTGGTGGGTGAGAGTGAGAGTGAGAGTGAATGAGTCAACGAAAAAGTGAGGGGAGAAAGTGAATGACAGATGTCCCAGAATCGCCAACGGTTTCCCTCAGGCAAAGATACGCAGCGCACAGGATATGGTTTATGCGGTTTTCCTAGAACCTGGAAACGTGTGCATAAACTATAGCAAAACGACATCCGCCGCAAGTTCCTTTTGTCACGCGGACGAACTTGGCCGCGCGCACACCCTACACATACTATTGTGTTTGGAAGCTCTGACTGCTAGGACCACGACTACTTGCTACTCCTACTTCTACGTAGTGTCGACACTGGATTATCACCCCCGCTTCAAGGCCAAAAAGGTTTGGGATTGGAGGGATGAGACCACATCCCCCTAATAAAGGTGATGACGACCTGATGATGGATGATGAGATGAGGACCTGGACCTGATGATCGGTGATGGTTGATGAGATTCTGTGGGAATCATGAGAGTTTGAACCATGAGAACCATGAAGGCTCTGAGTGTATTGGCACAAGTTTGATAAGAAATCAGGTAAGATTGATCAGAGAGCCATGCCAATCGGATCATTATACCAACAATAATAACAAAAGCTAATTATGTTCTTTTTCTGGGGGAGCTGGGCTAGATTAATAGGGGGAGGTTTCTGCCAGGAACATAATTTTATTAGGGTGATGCACCAGGGTTTAAATTAGTTTAGCATTGGGGGCTCGAGCTGGGCTTGATTAATAGGGGAGGTTACTCAATCCTCTGTCAACATTCCTGCTACTCCTACTACCACTCCCACTACCACTACCACAACTGCTACTACTGCTGCTGCAGCTGCTGCTGCTCCGACCATGTCCATCATGGATTCAACAACGACATCGACGACTATTACTGCCAGTACGACAACTTCTACCTCCAATCCTACTCCTTCCTACTTTCCACGGCTGCTGCCTCCTGCACCCCCCCGCGAGTGCAAAGCCATCGCAATGCCTCTCATTGCAAAGCTGCTCACCAGTTCTTCTGACACACAGGCACACTAGCCGAGTAGAACAATTTGAAGGGTTCCAGTGGGTGGGTCCTGGGGCATTACCCTGTGCCCAGGCTTTGACAATCATTGCCCCCCCCAGGGTACAAAACCTCTTGCCAAAAGACTTTGTCACCCAAAGCCTGAAGCACAATTCCATGTTGAAAGCAGGCATACGTAGTGAGAGAGCATGGAACTAACAAAGAACAGTGTTCATCAATAAGCCCCCTGTTTGGGTGTCAGGCTGATGCCTGGACATGGGTTCTGGTAGAGGGTCTTGTCCACAAGCATGGGTTCAATGCTACCTTGGACTCTGTAGCTTGGCCCAATGTGGAGGGCAGAAGTGGTGTCCATGGTGGCATGAAAGCTGGTTGGGAAGTCTGTGGTGGGGCATTGCGCTACACTGGGCCTGTGGAGGTGTGGGATGGGGTCTGGCTGGACTGGATGCCCATGAGGGAAAGGAGTGGCGCCTGAGTGCTTGCCTCCTGAGCAGGGTACAATTGACAGGCAGTGGGTACAAAGACTGGTCCACAGACAGCTGTGGCAGGAACTGCCTGCAGGGTTGAGATCCACCGGGATCACAACCCTGCAAATAGCAGGGCCAGAAACCTGGAGGCAACACTTGGGTTGGGAGGGCAGCTACATGTCAAACACACCACCCACCACCACTAATTACAAGCAAAGTTCTTCAAGGCACATCTTCATCCACAGCCTTTTTCCAATACATCTTTTCATCTAAAGACTCTAAAAACCTTGTCCTGGCTTTGGACCCCCGCAAGAGACCCGAAAGTGTGCTTAGAGGTCTAAGGTCCAGAGGTCGAGGTCTAAGGTCCAGAGGTCAGGTGTAGAAGTAGAAGGTCTTAGACGAATTAGGCTCCAAGAGATCTAGAGATCTGGAGGTCGTCCAAAAAGATCCAGAGGTCAAGGTCTTGAAATGCTTTCAGATTTTTTCACAAAAGATCTGAAGGTCCAGATCTAGAGATCTTGAAGCTCCAGAGTTCTAGAGGTCAAGATCTAGAGGTGCAGGTGCAGAGGTCATGGAGCTCTAGGCAAAAGCTGTGAGGACGAGGTGTAGAGTTTGAGAGGTCTAGAGGTCTGGGATGCAGACTTCTAGAAGAACTGGATTTCTCAAAGGATTTTTCTTTGCAGACCTCAACCCAATAATGCAAGCAATGCCCCAATTACAAAGGGTGTTTCATGGTGCTTTACTTGAGCTAAACGCGGCTGATGCAACAAAGTCTTCAATTCTTGGTCCACGTTAGTGAGAGGCCGCGCAACATCGATGCTACAACAAAATTTCGCCAGCTTGCACAACCGGTTGCAATGATGTTTGGGTAGGTAAACGTACAAGCACCAATCATGACGACCAGCCAGGATGCACTATAAGCAGTCGTGAGGCATAGTGAGTATTTGTTTTCTTAGCGCATTCAATAAGAATCTCACTGGCAACGACTTACCAAACCGCATCATGCGAAAAAACCCTTGTTGTTCTTTAAAATACATGCGCTGGACACTGCTTGATTGAATCTATCCAATCTTTCTGTACAGGCAACAAATCAAGGGCCAACTCCAAAAACCGTATCCTACTTAGCTCTCAGGAATAACCACTTAAAGTTTTACACGAGAAATCCAAAGGTTACGTTTTTTGTTTTCAAGCGGGATACGCAGTGTTTGGTAGTTTTGGCCATCCCATGCTGCCCTGGCTGCTAAGAATACGAAGGCAGCAAGCGTGCCACTCAGCTCTCCACACAGGAGAAGGATCAGTATGGCTGCGCTCAATCGAGGTTTAATGCGCCTGCAGCTCCACCTTCTCCACGACAATTCTCTCACCACGTGACAATCGCAGGCTCAAAATCGTAACTTTTTGGACCCAAAAGCGCGTAACAGGGAAGAAGCGCTGACATTCCCAAGTGGAAAGCAGCCCCCACCTGGCACCCAACCTGAAGCGATTCTGACGCTCGATGTGGCTTTCGCTCCCTTGCGGGTCTGTCAAATTCACCGCACGATGGCCATCGTGGAAATGATGCAAGCCACTGACTTCACAAGTCGATGTCCAAAGTCGCGTTGGCTGTCTCAGGTGCACCTGGAGCCGCTAGTCGCCCACCCCGCATATTTGCCCGAGCAGGACCGCTACCAAATCCACGCGCAAGGGAGTAGGTGGATGCCCGCAGAGGACCACCCAGGACAGTTTCCAGTTATGCTGGACTAAGTGCTGGACTATACCATCAACGTTTCTTTCCAATGCTTGGTCACCTTCAAGTCTTCGTCACGGAGGTTCGGCGGCCAAAAGCGCTCAACCTGCTGGATGTCGATGTGTGGAAAACAAATCAAGGAAACACGCTGGTAACACTTGATGGACGGTCGCTGCAACGCATCCTTGCTGCGTTTGCAAGTAAGCATCTTTGCTTCTTTGTCGCGCCTCTGCAGTACATGGGGCGGAGTCAAAAGTATGGTAGATGACCCGCTAACTTTCTGAAAGTGTGTTCGTACTGCTGGAAGGTTGTTATTTGAGGCGGCCTTGGTCGAACCATGCGCGCAAGAGTTGGCTTCCACCAAATCTGCGTTCGCGGTGTCGGTGGCATCGCGTACTTGTCCTGGGACTCCACCGTGAATCTGAGGCTTTCCAGAGCATGCGCATGCATGCGCACACAAAGCATTTTTCAACGGCGCGGGTGATGCAGAAGTTGAGGGCATATAGTGAGTAGGTGAATGTAGATCGTGATTTCAAAAGCACGTGACAAAGGGGAACATCTGAACCTTTGTGCACATGCACCTGCCATGAACTTTGCCATGCTGCCATGTTCCAAACTGCGCATCCGATTGTCTAGTTTTCGGTTGTCAGGTGTCCTTGGAGTTCGCAGGTTCTTGAACATTTCAAATTAATTCAAATTATAATGTAAAGTTTTGAGGCTCTTGAACGCCGTTCAGACAGTTCAGTGCATGTATTGTCGATTGCGACGATTGTGGTATCTTTTTTGGTGTGGAGCATGTTGTCCAGAAATTTGCGCGCTGCAGCATGGTTTCGGTTGTTGTTGTTTCTTTTGTTGCCCGTGTTGTGAATTCAGCTTGGGCGACATGGCACTGGCAACTTCGTCACTTGCTTGTGTTTGTCGTTGTTTCTATTGTTACGTCACGTCCCCGTTGTTTCTTGCGAGACTTCTTCGTGGCAGATCCTTTTTGGTTATAGATGCACGCATTGATGTTTGGTCCCGGTTCCCCGGTCCCAGTCTGTTTGTGACCAAGAGCTTTCATTGTTGAACTGTTGATCACCATTGCGTTTCAATCATCTCGTCGACTTTCGTGCTTTGTTCGACGCTTGGCATTCTCACTTTGTCCATCAAAGCTTAAGTGTTTTGAGTGTTTTTTGGATGAGTGCAGATGCTAGGGCCGCTAGGGGAGGAAAATGCAGTTGCGGTCAGATAGCCCAAAGCCTCACTTTCGCATTTTCATCAGAAAGTAGCAGCGTTTTTTTGCCGTGTTCCAACACTCGCATGAAACACAAGCTTGAAACAATCGCAGCTATTATGGGAAGCGTTCGCAACCGCATGCGCGGACATGAGCCCGGCAAGTTCTTTTAGCTGTTGCAGCATTGAGTCGGAAAGTGGTGTCCAATTCCTTCCACAGTGGTGTCACGGCTCTTTCTGTCGGAACTGAGTGATTAGATAGGTTTACCCCAAGCTGCGGAGGCTTCAAGCAATTCTCCGCAAAACCTGCAAAGAATTGACCTTTCCTTCGGCAAATCCAAGTGTCTGGTCCAAACGCCAATCAGGTTGAAGACCTCACAACCCCCAACGACACCCCGGTTTCGTTTCGGTGCCGTTTGAGGAGCCGACCTGATGATTTGCATTGGTATCGGTCGCTGGGCGGTTGTTTGGGGTGGGTTGAAATCGGGTGTTGATGTGGGGTAATGAAATTTTGCACATTTTGTTTTTCAATTCTATTCGATACATGAACTTGGTTGCCGATGTTTTCCTTTTTGCTGTCAAATTGTGGTTTGAACAGCCTGCAATCAATGTTTTTGCAACAATAAAATGCAGCTTTGGAAACACGTATGAACTCTGTAAGAGGCAGTCTAACTAACTGTTCACGTCAATGTGTTTTCCCTTTCCCTTAACTGGATGTCTCGAAATGTTTTGGAAAACATGTTAGTCTGCTAGACTCTGATAGATCCCCCCAACATTGTTTGGACAATCACCGCCTGCGCTTTTGGTCTCACCGCGCTTGGCGAGGTATTTTGTGGCCTTGCGCAACAGATGGGTTGGGCAACCGAACAGGAGCGGTTCCTTGAGGTGGATGTTGGATCAAGGTTGAAAGGGAGGTTGTACCGTTCATGTGAAGTGACTCAACGATTTTTTTCTTTTGTTGTGACTGAAGGATTTTCTCATAACCCAGTGGAGCCAGGCAAACCACTATTAAAGCTGGTAAGCAGTGGTTCCCAAGACGAAAACTATCGACTAGACCCAGGGTTTCTTTATATGTTTTTCTACAATCATGGTAACTGGGATCCATTGGTCTATCTATCTTGGCCTCATCAAAGCGAGGGCGAACTATCCTCCCGTGGCCTGACTTGGCAAACTTGGTACTTTACTCCAGAAAGGGCTATGCGGGCTACGTTCTCTTGTGGAAGGTTCCTGTTTGCCTCAAAACAAACGTGGACAACATCGCATCGCAGAGGAATCGTCATCCCCCCAAGCGGTGGCCGGTGTTTGTTGCGGTCTGTTGGCAGATTTGTGAGCTGAACAGCCAAAAAAGAAAAGCTCTCAATGCATTCACCTTGCTGTCATGCTGTTTAACCAGACTGGCAACTAAGTCTATTTCCTGCAGGCAAATAGTAGCTAAGTAGCTAGTAGTTCCCTTTCCATGCTGACAAAATCTAAGAGTCTATAATGTTTTCCATGCGATTTGTACCCAGAACCTTTCCGGCCAGCCTAGCATTCCAGACGACACCTGGTCCACTCGGATCTGTGTCCGGGAGGACCTGGACGGTGCCCGACTTCTTGGAGCACTTCATGTTCGACAGCCTGGCCGATGCGGCGATTGCCCTTGGGTTGATCGGTCAGCGCCGAACGCGCGACGTGAGTGGTTTGGACTGGTGCAGCCGAAGGTGGCAGAGGGTTTGGGGTTTGAGATAGACTCGGTCCGAAGAGCCGCGATCCTACTACTCGTATTACCATGTTCACTTGTTTAGATGCATTTTTGCATGGCATTTCAATACTTAAGCTGATCATGGGAATTGGACCTTTCAACATCTTCCAAACGTATTTATTTTTGGCCAAGTCATTTAAGGGATCCCGGAATCGGGGATGCTTCTCCGAGACTCTTCCGGACAAAAACATCAGTGACAGTGAGAGTCATGGTTTCATGAGTCCAAGCACGAAGAATCCAATATGGATTTGAAACCCGGTTTATGGGGTTTGAAACACAGAGACCTCAATATCGGTTTGTCTCAACAATCTCGGGCGAAACCAGTGACAAAATGTGAGTGTACCGTCATGAATTTCTTGGGCAGGTTCCAGCCCTTATTGTGCGAAAGGGAAGATGCAGGCGGACAGACACATAAAGCATGTCTAAACGTGTTTTCTATACTCTGGAGCCTCCCCAATCCTGGACCAACATACAACTGGTCTTGAAGTACGGGATTTCATGATCCCTTGGTAATTAGAATGGTTCAAAATCGTGGAAAGACTGTGACCTTTCTCTGCATGTATCTCCCAACCGGACCCCATCTCCTCAGCTCCGAGGAACAAACCAGGTGCCACTGACCCAGTCAGTGCGCTATTTGTACTTGAAACCTTTGCAGACCTCAGGATGGGAGCCACATGTTTGGGCTCTTGTGCGCGGTATCTGGGACAGCAACGAGTGAACTCTCCCTGTGTTTCTCCAGCCCTTCAGGTTCCAACCCTTGACTGTAGAGAACAGCAAGTGTGATTTTAGCGAGATTGAGATGGTGCCCTAAAAAAGTAATTAAGTCGCACTACAAGTTCTACCAACCTAATCCATTATACAATTGTTCATTGTATAGACTATTAATGTACAATAATTACTGACAGCTCTTTTTGGCCTTTTTGGGTGGCCACCGAGGTGGTGGCGGGCGATTGCAGCATGGTGAGAGCCTTGGTTTCGGCGCAGGCTGACGTGAACCGCCAGGCGCCGCCATGACGCGTCAGCGCCGTGCGGAGCGGAGGCTCGTTTTGGCTCGGTCCGAGCTGGTCGTCGTTCCAGCTTGGTGTGGGCATCCAACTTAACCTCCGGGTGAAGTACCAGCTAGTGGTGGAAGATCTTCATACCAAAAGCAAGGCTAAGGACTTTTCGATATTTCCTTCACAAAGACCAAGTTTTTGGACCTGATGTTCGTCCGAATTCCACTTGTCGTACTGTTCCACTCTTTCATCGGAGGTACGACGTGGAGTCTTTCTGTTCTGGTCGGCTCCGGTTCTTCATCCACGTGGCAGACATGCTCCGTGTGCGCACACATGCGCGCCGCGTTTGTTCAGCACGTTCACAGGTCTCAGGGCTGGCAGACATGGGTTTTTATCCTGGCATCACTCCCCTGATGGTCGCCGCCATCTCGGAACAATCCGGCCCCGTGACCCTCGGCTGCTCTAGTAGAGAAGGAGTCTGTTGTGGCACGAACTCTTGAGAGGACCTGAAAACCCATAGACCCAATATATATATATATATACACAGTAAATATACATGTACTTGAATCCCTTTGAACTTCAAACCAATGGATTCGCAACTCTCAGGATGTCCACCCTCTTGGAGCTCAAAGCGGACATCCATGCGCGCTCCTGGATGGGGGTCACTTGGTGGATACTCCCTAAGGGCCTAGCACTTCCCTTGGGGCGCTTTGGGGAACGACATGGAATAACAACGCTGACCCTGCTGTACCCTGCTTCACATTCAGAACATTTTGTCATGCCCAGGAATGACAGTGTATGAATAGATTGGATTACCAGTCTATCCACTCCCCAGTCGGATTTCAACAACCTTTGTTGCAAGAGTGTGAGACTGAAGAAGAACAACACTTGTTTATCTTTCATTATCTATTTATCTATCTAGTTGTCTGTATGTTTTCTTTCTTTCTTTTTCCCCACCTGCCAGGTGAGGGTTGTTAGATGTTAGATTTTATCACAGTTGTTCTTCCTCCGCCTCCGCCCGCCTCCTCGTCCTCCTCCTTCCTCCTTCCTCCTTGCTTCCTTCCTCGCCAATCTTCATCGCCAATCTGCTTCGCCGATCTTGTCTGGCCAGCTCCGGATCGCAGTGTGCACCCCTGGACCTCAACCGCAAGGATCCCCTCGCAGTGTGCACCCCTGGACCTCAACCGCAAGGATCCGATCGCAGTGTGCATCCCTGGACCTCAACCGCAAGGATCCGATCGCAGTGTGCACGCCTGGACCTCAACCGCAAGGATCCGATCGCAGTGTGCACCGCTGGACC